TTGCTAAAACAATTTTATTCTGTATTTCTTTTTTTTGCGCAGTCATATCTAAGGTTGTAGAAATCAAAACATCACACACACGTAGAACACACCAGTAAAGTACGGCATGGCGTAGTCTGATCGCGTGCAAAACATTAACTATTTAACTAGCGTTACGGCGGAAGTACGTTTTTAAATTCTTCCACCTTTCCTCTTTCGGGTAGCGCTGCAGGCAATGATGCTTTTGTTGGCGGCTCTTGGGAAACTCCTGTTCTACAGGTATCAGCTTCTGGAGTACCGCTCGTAGACCAATGTTCTGGACATTATTATTAACCCCTCCTCATCGTGTCGCACCTCTGTAGAATATTGTTGTTTTCTTGTTTTATATACGCGTGTTTGTTTTTTGTTTTTTTTTTGCATAGCATATTTATCTTTCTTGAATCTCCACAAAAGTAGCATTCATAAATTTTATGGGACTCAAATCTGCTCTGACTTCCTGGACGTCCATCCAAAAATTTATTTCCAAAGTTTTGCGAAAAAATCCAAACTCCTGACGCATTCTTAAATTTGTACAGCATCTTGACCGCGTCCTTCGTCATTAATGTACGGGGTGCGGCCGTAAAGACCAACACATTTGGCACACCGGGCGAAATAAATATTCCAAACCTGCACACATAAAATTGGCCACGCGGATGTAGTTTTGCAAGAAGTTTTATGTCTATATTTTTAAGAGCTTAATTGTGGGGTAGTGAAATTTTAAAAATAAACCAAAATCGGAGACCGTGCATTTCCTGTTTTATACAAGCCTGTTTGTCGTCTGGATTCCGGTTTATGAGCTCGCTCCTGGATGGCTTGCTGAACGCAAAAACGCTAAAAACCGATGGCAGAGGCTGGCGATGAGCAAGATAATCCCGATAATTGATACTTTTAACAAAATATATAAACAGTAATCACCTGGGAGTTAGCGCACAAACCAGTCTGCAGAAAAGGAACATCCGTTATAAGTCATGGAATATGCATGGCCGACGTTTCTGCTCCATTTTTATTATTTTATCATCTCTGACTTGAGTTCTGAAAAAATAGGCATAAAACTTCTTGCGAAACTACGTTCGCGTACCAAATCTCAGGTGCGTACGTTTTGAATTCGAATTTTGAAAGGAGTGCCAAATGTGTTAGTCTTTACAATCGCACCCTGTAGACAAAGAGCGCACTCGAAATGTATAAAGAGCAGAAGGGAAAAATGCGATGGAAAGTGTCAAAACTCCTGTAAACAGATAATTTGTTTTCTTTATGTATTGGGATTAAGTGGGGCTCCCAGCGGAAGCATCACCTCTTACATAGTTTCACCAAATGCACCCCCCCAACACACACACACACACACACACACACACACATACACACACCAATAAGAAGGTTTTTCTGTTTAAAATGCAGGTCAGTATCAAACAAGCGGTTGCGTAGCAGCAACGGATGACCTTGCCATGGTTTGCAAATAAAATAACGTGTAGAAACCTGTGAAGGTGACTAGTTGAGAGCCTCATTGTTTTTCTATTCGTTGCTGCTGCAATGTTTCAAAATGAGTTTAATATATATATTCAATATTAATCGGTTGTTCCATATTTTCGCAGAGATTGATACTCTGTACGCTATTGAATGTGCAGCTGTTTGTTTGTTTAATTGCTACACACTTTACATTCGTAATTTGTCGCAGTAGTCTCAATGATAATTTTAATTTTTTTCTTCTCGATGTTTTGTTTGAGTGTATTTCATGGGAAAGATAGCCAAGAAAGAACTTTTTCGTGAAGAAAAACAAGAGCAGACGGGTGCCTGCTTTTCTGCCCTCAACCTTCATCGTTTAAACCATCTGGTTTCTTTCAGGATTCTCTTTCTATGTTAAGGGTTCTTGAGTGGTTAATGTTTTTGTTTTGCATTTTTGTTTTTTGTGTACGTACCTTTTGACATTGTGTGAGAATGGGAGCCTTTCGTAAAGCTGCATGTGTGAAGCTTCTTTTTTTCATTCTCCTTTCCTCATGCACTTGCCACAAAATATACCTTACTATTTATTCGGGTCTGACAAGAGATTGAAAAGAACCTTTCAATAAGTCCGCGTTTAAAATTAATAACGTTAATTCGTTCTATTTAAAAGGTAAGTCCACGTAGACACCACCAATCAGCTCATCGCGAAACTGAAGAAAATCCCACCGGAGCATGACATCAGCTATATGATTGTGGAGATGACAAGTTGCAACTATTTGAACGTGACAAGAAATCTCGCATAGGATAGACCCTTTCAAAAGTACATCGAGCAACACTGGCGGTCGCCATTTCTTCGCCACGAAGCACTGGATCCGAGTCCTCGTCGAAGTCTGACGCAAACCTCTTGTCCAATGCATGCTCAGGGTATGTGAGCAAACAATGGGGGACGGGCGTCTGCGATGACTTTTGAAAAGGGTCGATTGCGAGCAGTACAAGCGAAGAATGCCTCGCTGAACGCGTACAGCTACTTCGTGTCAATGAGCGCAAGAAATGGCACGTTGTCCATGAGAATGTCGACGTACAGAGTTTCCGCGTGAATTTTCACCTATTTTTGGGTTGTATTTCAAAATATTGTTCGATGATCAATGGTATTCATTCGATGTAGATGAGTCAGCATTAGTTTTTGAACGCTGCTTCCTTCCGTCGTCACTCTTAGATATGTCCGCCATGTCCACTCGTGGAAAGAACTACATCCATCTCCGGAGCAGCAACTGAGCTTGGCCGCATTCTAAAGCTGCGCGGCGCCTGCTCGTGTCTGGCTCCGCGCCAGCTGTGCGACGCTCGTATTGGTCCGGAGCGCTGACGTCAGCACGCCTCACCCCCTCCCTCCCCCCCCCCCCCCCCCCCGGCCGTGGTTTGACATTTAATCTGTGAGCGTAAACACGGCACCTCGTCACCACCCCACTCTTCTCGCGACGTCATGGATGGCTATAGTGTGATTAAATGCAAAGATGCAAGCAAGCTGGACAAGAATGACGAAAATAATCCGTGGAGAAAGGGAACAAGAGGGACAAAGGACAAACACAAATCTCCAAACACAACTAAGTGACTGGTGCGCGATCGAAAAAATCCGCCTGGTCCGGGTGTCGAACCCTGGACGTCATAATAGGAGTTTTCGGAATCTCCGCTCTCGCGCATCTACAGCGCCTGTCAAAGCTATGCATGCGAACTCTTGCTAGTTTCAGAAAAGGTCAGAAAGAAACGTGACGACTGGTATCAGTGCGGGGGAATATAGTCGCTTTCAGGCAGCTGTGCATAGGCGCCGCCATAAACGACCTTCAGTTTTGTTTCCTCTCATTCCGTTCGATTTTCTCTAACATTGCCACAGTACGACAGGTTATTGCCACTTTAGGCACTATTGCGTCCTTCTCCTCAGCATAGGCCTTTGTGCATGCTCATCGACGGCCGCTTCAGTGGCTCGGCATCTCGGTAAGACAAGAGAAGGTCGGCAATGGCGGCTCAATCCGAAATTAGGGTTTCGCCAAATAAGGCCACAGAAGCGTTGAACGGGGCGCTACGAACTCCAAAACATCACTCATACATCCATATCTCAAACGGACGGCCGCATTTTTGGAAGAGAAGGGCGCGATCAAGCAAGGACTCTGACGTCACGGTCCTCCTGGAACAGTTGAGATTGAGGGGAAGCAGCCTCGCTTCTCTCCTTCCCTCTTCGGTTCACCATCTCGACGGGACGAAGCGAGGAGGAGAGGGAATGAGAATCGTGACGTCACATGTCTCGTCGGCCCCGTCGGCCGTGCTCAATCGCGCATTTCTTTTCCGAACATACGGCAAGTCTGTTAGAGATATCGCTAATAAGTGATCTTTTTTTTTGTTTTTTGTTTTTTTTTTTTGGGGGGGGGGGGGGGTTTGCAGAGTCCCGCCTATCCGTCCAGCCCTGTCTTGTGGCTCGAAATTTCGGTTCAGTAGCCCCTCTAAAGCGTCTATACTTGGCAAGCTTGTCATTGCACGCGCTGCCCACACGAGCGACACGCACTTGGCGGCTCAAAGATCCTATACTCTGTTTCACACTTAGGGTGCAACGCTGTCAAAGCTACTGGCGCCAGCATGGGGATTGATCTCTTTGTTCATTTGCACGCGTTCTCGCGCGACCAAAACCATAGCTGAAGCCACGCGCTCGCGCCAGTAGTTTTGACAGCGTTGCACGCTAAGTATGAAAGAGAGTATAGTATAATGGCACGACTGGTCGGAGGTTTTTCGTGTGTTTTCGCGCTTAGTTGAATATTTTGACAAAAACAAACAAAAAACGTGATATTCAGATTTATGGTGGAAAATAACGCCAAAGTTGACCTCAAACTCGTTTTTTTTTTCAATAAGTGTTTCAGTTTTTTTTTAACTGTGGCGTTAAAGGCTGAACTCCATGGAACGAATTATGTGACGAATAACTGGCGAACGCTGCCCGACGGCACACTCGCTTTGCGCGCGACATAGCAGCCACTGTGTTCATTCCACGCGCAGAGCAAAAGTCGCCGGGCAAAATTCGTCGATTTTTCGCAGCATATTTGTCCCATGGAGTTCAGCCTTTAAATGTACATTTCTTGCAGAAATGTATTTCTTATCGCCTGCTCCCTGGATTTGTAAAATATTGTTTCAGTGGTGCTCACATGCATCAATTACTACAAATTGTCTGTAGTCACTGACCGAATGAGATCCGCAGGGCGTCTACTTTAAAAGCCCGGCCTTGAGCACGAGCTCCGTGCCTTGCGCCATGCTTTGGCTAAACGCCTGCTCCCGAGCTGCACGACACACCGAAGACTCATTGATGGAAAAAAGCTCGCACTGGAGGCGGGACAACTGACACTCCTCTCTGTCCTTCTCACCTTCCCAGTGATCATATAATCTTGGAAACCTTGAAACGTATTTTCCCTTAATTATGCTGAGAGTGCCGATTCAAAGAAGCAGCACTCAGAAACTCCCACATTTTAGAGTTTCGTGTTAATAACACCAATTACGTTTTATATGTGCAGGTGGACAAGATAACGCTGCGTCCGCAGCACAGGGCGTGTCTGGAGCACACCAGCGTTCGGCGGTGACCTGTTCTTGGCGCCCGGAAGGCTTGGAGGCTCGCCATACCTTCGCGACCACAAATCCTACTCCTCATCCAACTCTCGTCGTGAACTGTCAAGCGAACCCTGGTATCCGCCCCACGACTACGCACATCACAGACCTAAGCGTGAAGACTTCACTCGTTCAACGGTGGCAGAAGCTTCGCGAGACCCTGGTGGACTTTGCACGAAACGTGCCGTCGCCCGAGAGGGCTGCGGACAACGACGGGGCGTGGACTGTGCCCAAGGCTTGGTTACTGCCGTGGGTCCAACTCAAAATGCTTTAAAAAATTATCACGGCTGCTTCCATCATCCCATTTATACCGCATTGAAACTTCGTGTTGTTTCTGAATCGCTGTGAAAGGCGTCCGATGGTCTTGTCGAACCTGGAGGCAGGACACAACGACGAGCCCTGTAAACGCACAAATCCCTACCTTCAAATACTTCGGGTGTCTGGAAGAGGAAGGAAGCTTTTTTCGGAAACAAGAAAATACTTTTATTTCACTTTGTAAAATGTCGGGCGGAGTTGGAAACGGATATCTCACGCCACGTCCATGAAGACGCGGCAGTTATCTTGCCAGGTCAACATGTGAATACCCATCGGGTCGGAGTCTCTTTGAGGAAAGTGAAATTCCCGCCATGCTCAATATTCTTGGGCCATAGACAGCCCCTCGTCGACCTTTTCCTCTTCTCTGGTGTGTTTGTGAACATTGTAGTTCTCGTCGCAAACTGTAACAGTGACTGTGATAGCGGCATCCGTGGGAGGACTCGGAGGACTTCAGTATGAACACCCCGGGACACTGTAAGCAATGTTCACGCCGAGTGTCTCATGAGCAGAACTGGTGCATCCGATGTCAGGCACTACTGACCTGTCGCCAAGGTGCCGTGTCCCACTCAATGTAGATTTTCATCTATAGCGAAAAAAAATGGTTACACAAGCAGTCTGAACAAAAGCGGGGACAATATAGGACATGAACAGGGTAGCACTTGGCTCTCCACATGGACACACGCTAGCTGGACAATTTTCATTTGTTTTATATTCTGTGATGAGCGTCGAAATAAAGATACCGATAATAAACACCAATAACACGAATGAACCGAGTGTTTAGTTTTTTTAATGTTAAAAGTCCCAATGTATCTAATCTATACGACAAATATATACCACCGGAAAGGCTCACGCTATGCCCGGTGTTATATCGCCAGCCTAAATATGTTATGCAAACGCTTTTTGGTGTCTCTGAATACTGCACAAGAGCATTCGATCGAGAATAGTTTTAAAGTTAGTGCACGAGGAACCAATGTGTAACTTTACCAACACTGTGAGATGTTGTTTTCAGCCTGCTTGTTGCTCAGCGCAGGTTTTCTCAAACAAATGATTTGCGAAATTCTCACATTGAGAACATTTTGATAGCCCATAGCGTGCAATCACGTAGTCTGGGAGACCTTCGGGACGACGTCTTTGGGTTCCTGAGATGCACTACACTTATCTTGGAACCGTGAAGATGGAAAAGGTATTATATAAAATTGACTCGAAATATTTTTAAGACACTTATATTTAATTGACATGTGACCGATGGTAGTCCGTCTTCAATGGGAATGATAGCTTCGTTTTAAGCAAGCCGCTGTAATTAAAAATGGTTGTTATAAATCCACGAGTTTACTTTAAAATTTAAAAAAAGAAAGTCTCGGTACCAACATGTAACGATTTTGACCTCTCACCAAGGGCGTATTTTATGGGCGAACTCTAGCGTGTAAACTTTCAATGCGTACCTCCCTTTTTGTGGGAAATAAGTACAACACCCTTGATATGTGGACGGCGGGCTCTGGTGTAGACAACAGAATTAAACGAGAGTCGTGATTGTGGCGCCATCTGCCAATAGGCACAGTAAACACTCAGGCGAAAGCAGACGACGCCGTACCCTGCTTGCTGCATAAACGGGGAAATGGTGCAACATGCACACATCTCTCTTAACTCGGTCGTCTGTGTCAGGGCCCGGGGTTAAAAATGTCACAAGTGTTTTGCTAATTTCTCACATGAATGAAGCCTTAAAACGTGGCACAGTAAAATCTAGCCCTAGATGAGAACCTTAGTGAAAGTTCCGATTGGTGAAAAGGATTGCTTGCTCCTCTTCCTCTCCCCATTCGCAGTCAGCCCCCCAAAATTAGACTGAACGCAGCAGATGTTGCCCCATGTGTGATTCCAAGCACGGTGCGGTCCGATCGCGATTCGCAGTCGAGCCTCAACAAAAGCATGCGGTTTTTCAACGACAAACCTATTCCTTCTCGCATCATCCTAGCATCTTCCCGAACTCTGTCCCTGACCACTGCATCACTTATGGCGCGCTTGTTGCCCAAGGCGTCCAGAACCGGGTCGATGATCAGGCGAAAGCCAGAGCCCTCAACGAGGCGAAATGGCCTTCCGTTCTTTGTCACTAGCTCGACGCAGCCTCTCATTACAGTTTACTTGGTCATGTCCAGCAAGAGCGACTGTGACGTTGTCGGTCGGAGCATGTTCCGTATATCCACCTGTGTCAACTTTGCTGCCGTTGACCCTTCGTGACTGTTTCTACACTCTTAAAAAAAAGAGTCGCTATGACTCTCTTTGGGGGGTACTGGCGCGCCGCAGAATTGACCTTCCACGACTCCAGTTTGTAGAGTCCCTCGACTCTTTCTTAAAGAAAGTCTCCACGACTCCCTGTGGCGGGTCTTTGCGCTCTGCAGATTTGACTCCTCCACGACTCCAGTTTGTAGAGTCCCTCGACCCTTTTTTTAAAGAGTGTCGCCACGACTCCCTGTGGGGGGTTTTTGCGCGCTACAGATTCGACTCCTCCACGACTCCAGTCTGTAGAGTCACTTGACTCTTGTTTAAAAAAGAGTCCTGTGACTCTCATCACGCTGGAGTCATGGTAGTGTATGGGCGACTCCAGGTGACGTAATCAACTGCGACTCTTTAACGACTCTTATCCAACGGAGAAAAAGAATCACACGACACCTTCCTGGTAAACCCCGCTACTCTGTAACAAGAGTTGTGAGAACCCTCCTTTTATGAAGAGTCTTCCAACTCCTATCGCAAGTCATGGGAGTGTATGAGCGATTCTCCGAAAGATAATCAGTGCTGACGCTCGCTTTGTCTGGAATATAGCAGCCCTAGTCAAGTGTCAGTTTGTTGAACAAAGGGAGGCATTGTGATCGTTACGAGACTTCTTGCCGCCTGCGAGGTTCAACTTAAATTTCCCTAAAACAAGGGTAGTAACATCAACTGTGTGAAAATGTAAAATTTGAAATGGAAACTTCGATTCCACCTAAAAGAAGTGGTAACATCAATTGTCTGCAAGTGTAAACGTCGAAATGCAGAACTGATATCTTACAATTTCCTGTAATGAAACATGGAAAAATGAACGATGATGGTCTTAACGATGCTGAACTGAATGCTGCTCTAAAATTTATCATGAAACACAACAGAAGCTTTCAGGACAGCATTGTTTTGTTACATTGGAATTTGCACACAACAAAGAAAAGTAAAAGTTTTCTTTTTAATCGGCAGCTTAACTTTCTATTAGTTTGATTATACTTATCATTTACAATAGGTTGTATATGTTTTTTATGACATGTCTAGACTATTGGCAAGAGCTGGTGTGAACGAGCATGTTCTGTTGTTTCATGCCTGCTTTGAATGGACAGGTGGGTGGCAATAAATTGCAGGAATCTTCAAATTTAACAATAAAGATAGCTGTTTTGTCTCAGCTCATATCACTGCCATCTGTGCAAACGCAACTTTATGAGTCCTACCATGCAGGTACTGCAAGACAAACCACAAGTATTTAAAACAATTACTTTATTCGAAACTAATGTGATACATATTGGCTCAAAAGCCTGCTTCGGCTTATCACAGGGGTTTTATCACAATAACTAAACAAATAACATCATAAGAAATAATACTAATACACAAAACTGGTATAACTATCAGACAAGAATGAAAATAAATTACAATGACAAGTTTTGTGAAGGCTTGCTTTGCCTGCTTGGTGTTGAGGATTAAATAGAATTAAAAAAATGACTAGTTTCCTAAAAGCTTTGTTTGCCTACATGCTGTTTTTCAAATTTTTATTTTTCTTTTTGCAGTTTCTTCTTTTATGATTTGGATCCTCAGATCAACAGATGCACAAAAAAAAATGTAACAGAAGTTTGGATACACAATTGAACACATACACCTTTGTATTATAGCTGGAATATTCACCAAATACATATGGAAACATTAAAACAGCAACCGGTATTGGTAATTTTTTTTCCCTGTTCCAGGAATGTGTTCCGAGTGCTGTCACAACTTTCACAGCTTTTACCGAAATCTTTGTATTTTTTTACCCATGAGGTACTCAAGCACAAAAAGTGTGCTTCGTCGATTCCCCACCACATACTGACCTTTCTATGCTCAGTACATGGCTAATACCAGAGAGATTCTTGCTGAAGACTCCAGGACGTCGATTCATAGGTCCTCGCAGACAGCGCACATGCTGCCAGATGTCAATGGGTGCTTTCCAGTGAAAAGTAACGCCGGGTTCCCGAAAGTCTTTACTGGGACCTGGGGAAAAAAAAACAATGATAAGAAATAAGTTCTGGAAGTCAGACGAAGTTGTAGGTGAGCAAAGTAAAATTGTCGAGGACATGTTAAGTGCACACAGTGTCATAGATGGAAAGTCCATGCAACAGTGTGAAGGCGAGTGAGGCAGACGCCCATTGCTGCCTTTCTATATTTCTTCTCACTTGATTGTGAAGTGTTTCGTACGGTGGAACCAGTGCATCAGGGTGTCTACCAAATTACTGATTTCAAATTCCTTGACTTTTCTAGAATTTCCCTTGACTATTTTGATAAAAACTTCCTGACCACTTCTGGTTCGAAGGATCATAATTCGGAAACGTTATTCAGGATAGTCGTGCCCATGCGCAACCGTAAAGCTTTGTTCCGTAACGCCGTTCCACTTTCAGTGGTCATTTCCCCTGATGAAGCCAACTTTTTGACGATTTCTCTGAGAATTTCAGGTTGGTAGACACCCTGATGATGTATCAGGCTACAGATGGACACCACAAAATGCAGACTATTGCATTAAAAATTCTTTTAGCCATCAGGAGGAATCTAAAATATTCCCATGGAGAGAGATCGAGAGTGGAGGGGCGGGGGAGGCTGTTGCTGCTATTGTTTACTTTTTCTTTTAAAAGAATATCAATTTAAGGCTCAAAGGGAACGTAAGTAATAAATCAGTAAGTGCACTGAGAGCACTTGAAGCATAAGGGGCACGGTATCTACTGAGAAAAGAGGGGAGGGTACCAAGTCTAGCTTAACCTGTTCTGCAGCATCCTGCATTTGCTAGGTGCTAGGCAAGACTGGGGCTTATCTACTGAGAGTGTCTAGTATAGTCAAAGAAACATTATAAAATCCTTTGCTGGGCAAGCTGCTTCGTGGCTGCAATTAAAAAAAGAGTACATTAAGACTGGGACAAAGAAGGAAGGGAAGAATGTTTTTCTGAATAAACTAGTTGGTAGTGAGCGCTTGTTTCTTCCTTTCTCGTCCCCGTCTTATTGTGCTCCCTTTTTAGCTGTAACGAAAGCAAGCCACGATGGAATTTAGAGAGGGCTTAAAGCTTGCTTTAACATATGTGTGCATGTGAGGGAACGCTTCATATACAAGGCCTACCTGCAACGTAGTAATCACCACAATTTGCCATCTGAGTAACAAAATAATGCATCTCTGTATTACAAAGTATCCTATAACTTTTCATGTGCTGTACCGATATAGGCATCTTTTGCATTCAGAAATGGCGGGACACTAAAACTAATAGTAATTTGTTTATCATCTTTGCTTAGATAAATGTTTCTGAAGTTCGGCAGGAAAGAACCGCCTTCCAACATGACCCCGAATCTGGTCTTTGGTTTGTTTTAAGTCATGGCCAAGTACTTCTAATAAAATATTGAAATAACCAGTTGAAAAGACAGCGGATAATACTTATCTCACTTGGTCTCCAGCTTTAAATTTATTTTTTTTTTTACAGATTGGAATAGCAAAGACGCCCTTTCAAACAGATTTATCTTAAACAACCATAGT